GGGAGAGGCTGGGACTGGAGGAACATGGCCAAAGGGAAGACAGGGAGGCTTGAAATAGGAAGGGTGAAAGGTGGGGCAGGGGCTCACTTGGCACTGTGCTTGTCTAACGTACATGAGGCCCCAGGGTCCACGTCCAGCACTAGATAAAGTGCGGTGGTCTGTGCCTATAATCTCAGCACTCATGGGCTAGCAGTGGGAAGATCAGGAGTTTAATGTAGTCCTGGGATATATAGTGGGTTTTAGACCAGCCTGAGCTACGAGTCAAAAAGAAAAAACCAGGAGGGGAGGGAGAGGCAGAGCCAGGCATCAGGGCCCCTTGATGATGTGTAACCCCCAACCCTCTTGGCAGAAAAGGCAGGGCCAGCTGAGAACGTGATGGTGAAGGAGGTGTGGGGCACCAATGCACTGGTGGAGTGGCAGCCGCCGAAGGATGATGGGAACAGCGAGGTCACGGGCTACTTTGTCCAGAAGGCTGACAAAAAAACCATGGTGAGGGAACAGAGGGGCCTCAGGGGCTGCGGGAAATGCTGGTGGCTTTGGCAGAACAGAGCTGAGCTTTCTGTTTCACAGCTGGGACATTGAGGCTAGGCGATTGGGTGGCTGAGAGGGAGTGGGCCGAGTATGAAAGACAGGCTGTTTCCTGCCCTTCCTGGGTCTGTACCCACGTGTGTCCTCCATGAGCTTGCCTTCCTTGGTCCCTCCTTGTCCCCATTCCAGGAGTGGTTCAATGTCTATGAACACAATCGCCACACCAGCTGTACAGTGTCCGATCTCATCGTGGGCAATGAGTACTACTTCCGGGTCTTCAGCGAGAACATCTGTGGTCTCAGTGACTCACCTGGTGTCTCCAAGAACACAGCTCGAATCCTCAAGACAGGTGCGGGGCCTGGCTGCCTGGCCTTGAGCTGCAGCTCCTGGCTGTTGGTCCCTGGCTGGAGCTGGGGTGGGACTCACCTTATAGGTGTCTCTTCTTCCTTAGGAATCACCTTAAAATCACTGGAATACAGGGAGCATGATTTCCGAACGGCCCCCAAGTTCCTGACACCGCTGACGGATCGGGTAGTGGTGGCAGGATATGCTGCAGCTCTCAACTGTGCTGTCAGAGGACACCCAAAGGTGCCGGGGCGGGGTCTGGGGAAGCCACCACACCAGCAGCTCCTCCCTCCGGCCCCCTTGGTGGAGGCCAAGTGTCAGACAATCCTGAACCCTCTTGCCCTTTCTCTGCCTCACGACTGCCAGGCACACCTCATTCATGAAGCCCACCTCTCCTGTCCTGTTTGTGGGCACCGTCATTCCCTGGAAAACCTTGGGCAAGTATCTACACCTGCAAAGCTCCCTGGGGGTTTTCCTCAGCCAACCAGTTACAAGTTCACTCTTTTCTTTAAAAATATCTTAAAATTTATGTGTCTGTATGTGCACTTTGTGTGTGCAGTGCTCTTGTAGGCCAGAGAGGGCTCTGGACTCCCTGGAAGTGGAATTAAAGGCAGCTGTGAGCTGGGACTGAACCCAGATCTTCTGGAAAAGCAGCAAGCACTTTTAACCACTGAACCATTTCTCCAGGCCCCAGGGTTCTTGTAGCCTAGGATGGCCTTGAACTCAAGATCCTTCTGCCTCCACTTCCTGAGTGCCGGGCTTTTAGGTGTGCACCACCAAGTCTGGGTATTCTCATCCATTCGTTCATAAATCCACCCACCATCTCCTTTAACCATGTGCCAATTAATTCATTTTTCTCAGCTTATTCATTCATCCCATTTGCTGAATTACATCATTGTTTCCACAAATATTTTCCTGGACTTCACGTGTGCTTCACAGATGGAACAAAGAAGTTCCGTTTGTGTTGTGTGTGGGGGGGAAGGACTGATCTAAGTTCTCACAGATCATATAAATTGTGAATGGTGATAAGCATGATAGAGAGACACAGGCAGTTCTGGGACAGTAACCGCGGCACCCCAGTCCAGGAGGTGACTGGTGTGGGAAGGGCGGGGCAGGCAGGAAGAGCGGTGTTGGAGGAGGAGGGAACAGTGTCAGGGTCCTGGATGGGAAAGGTAAAGAAAAGGGAGGAAGGGTGGCCAAACTGGGGGCCTTAAGGCGCTACCTTTTTTGAGAACAATGGGAGGTCGCTGTTTCCCTTGAGCACGAGGCATCATGTACTTGTCTGTACAGAAGAAAAACTGGGGATCAGAGAGAAAAGTGACTGGTTCAAGTCCACCCAGCCAGGTAGTGGCACGGGCTTCTGTCGAGGGCACCCCTCTACATCAGCCTCCTCTTTTGTGCCCCTCCCTAGCCAAAGGTGGTGTGGATGAAGAACAAGATGGAAATCCATGAAGATCCCAAATTCCTCATAACCAACTATCAGGGCATCCTGACGCTGAACATCCGCCGCCCTTCACCCTTCGATGCAGGGACCTATTCCTGCCGCGCCTTCAATGAACTGGGGGAGGCCCTGGCTGAGTGCAAGCTAGATGTCCGAGGTGAGGAGGGAATGGCCCCACACTGGCTGACCTTCATCCAGGGCCCTTGGCAAACCTACCCAGGTGCCCCAGGCAGGAAGAGGGGACAGGTCCTGCAAAGGCCTTGGGGTTGGAGAGCACCGGTCCCAGCCCACGCTTCACCTTCTACCTCTCGAATCCTCTGTCAAGCCTCCTCCTGTCCTTTGCCCCGGAGTCAGAGTTGAGGTGACCATCCCCTACTCCTCAGAGCCCCCCCACCCCCGCAGTCTCATCAGCCTGGAATTATTGTCTTGTATCTCAGCCCTGTCCCTCACTCCAACCTCCTATATATCCACACTGTGTCCCAGACGTCCTATGCCACTGGTAGGGCCACAGTGGCTACATTTTATCCCTACTCTGGGCCTCTGCACATGATGAGCCATCCTCCGAGAGAACTGTCCATCTCCTTTGCTGGCTCCAGTCCACGCACACTGCTGGAGGAAGCAGACCAGGTCTCCCAGAGTGCACATTAGCGTAGTCCGTCCCTGCTTGATTTGGAGACACTTACTCATGCTGATGTGCCTGGCCCTGTGACAGCTTAGCAGACAGGGACTTCAGCCCCTCAAGGAAGATTCCAGGATCACCCACCAGGCCCAGTGACTTCGTTGTGGATTCAGGCTGATCCACCATATACTTTGCAGTCTTCTTTGTGGGTGACTAGGTCATCTCAGATGTGCCCCCATCGCAGGCTCCTGCTGATTTCTGATAGCTGGTAGTTCCTCAGAAAGTCCCCATTTGGGATTTAAAATGACATTAAACTGTCAGGGGTGTGGTGCACATCTGTCATCTAGCACTCAGGAAGCTGAGGCAGGAGAATCAAGAGTTTGAAGCCAACCTATGCTACAGAGCAAACTCTAAATCAGCCTGAGTTACATAGTATGATCTTGTCAAAATACCATAGAATGAAGAAACAAGGGCTGCAAAGGGGCTTGGTGGTTAAGAGCAGTGGCTGCTCTTCAGAGGACCTGAGTTCAGTCCTCAGGACGCACATGGTGGCTCACAACCATCTGTAATTCGAGTTCCAGGGGCTCCAAAGCCCTCTCCTGACCGCCACGGGCTCCTGCATGCACATGGTGCACATAAACTCAGGCAGGCAAACACACATAAAATAAATAAATTTGAGAACAAAAATGCGAACTAAAATGGCCAGCCATGGCAAAGTACAACTGTAGCCCTAGTTCTTAGGAGCTGGCAGCAGGAGCACCAAGCCTTGAGGGATGCCGTGAGACCCTGTCTCAGAAGGGCCACATGAGGCTTTTTCTCAAAAGGAAAAAAAGAGAAGAAAAAGGTGTGAGGCTGGAGATGTGGCTTATGGGTGCAGTGCTTATCCAGCATAAAGTCATGGGTTCCATCCCCAGCACTCTGTAAACCCAGGCACAGTGGTCCATGGCTGTGATCCCAGCACTTGGGAGATGGAAGCGGGAGGATCAGGAGTTCAAGGACATTCTCAGCTACATATCTGAGTTCAAGACCAGCTGGGCCTACATGCGGCCCTGCTGAGGGAGGGAGGGAGGGAGGGAGGGAGGGAGGGAGGGAGGGAGAGAGAGAGAGAGAGAGAGAGAGAGAGAGAGAGAGAGAGAGAGAGAGAGAAGTGATCATAATGACTTCACTGGTGTTCAGGGACAGTCACTGGATGGGAACTTTCTTGCCCCCTCTGCTGGTCACATGGTTACATGCAGTACAGGGTTCTGGGGGATTTTAGAAGACATGGTGCAGCCCACCTCACTCTGCCTCCCCCATCTCTCATTTCTTCTGCAGTGCCACAGTGACAGCTCATCATCTGTCAGAAAAGTCAGCCTGGACACCAGTCCTGCAACCCTTGGGATGGCAGTCATCTTCCTAGAATGATCATTGTGATAAAATACTGTTACTCAAATTATGTGTCCATCCTTCCAGAATCTGTAGTTCTTGTCCTCTTGTGGGTGGGGTTAGTCACTCTGGGGTAGATGGCCACCACCACAAGGCAGTCTTAAAGATCAGATACCATTGAGGTTGCCATGTTGGAAGATGGCATTTGCTGAGGGAACTGCTTTGCCATGGCATTTACAATAGTCAAAGGTGAATCTCATGCCCTGTGGCCTGAACTCTCTTGAACATTACCTACAGAGAGGAGGAGACAGGCTGGTCGCCACCCTCAAGGGACAGCACTTCCAAGCTGATCAAGACAGGCTTGGGCACACCTGCCATCTTAGCAAAAGGCTGAGGCGAGCTAGAATGGTCAGAGTCATGCTGGGCAATTAAATGGCACCCTGCATTAAAATAAAAAAGAGATAGAGCCCTTGAGTGGAATCCCCCAGTGAGGGACTTAGGGTGTGGCTCGGTGGTGGAGTGCTTCCTTAGAATGTGGGAGGCTATGGATTTCATCTCTACAGATGAAAAAAAGAGAAGGCAACTGGACAAGCCTTGGGGAAAGTGGGTACTAGGGCAACAAGGGCACAGAAGGCTAGAAGAACAACCTAGAAGCAGCCTGTTGCCTTGGTGACTGTGGCATAAAGAGCCAGGACCTGGGTGTTGGTTTTTAAGAGCCCGATCTTTATTAACTTTAAAATCCATCTCTGGCTCTGAGCTGAGCTGGCTTGATCTCCGGTCCTTTGGCGATCTGGAAGGATCTTGTCCGAATCAGAGCCCCCAGAGTTCTGAGACCTGCGGGTCCAGTCTGGCCTCTATGGCTTGACGCTAAGGAGAAGAGTGTGTATCTGAGAGCCGGACCACCATGTGGGTGTGAGGTTGGGATAGGTAGGCCCATGGATGTCTTGGGAAGAGGCCTCACCTTCCAGAACTGGCCTCTCCTGTTCCCCTTTCAGGGAACTGGGCATGTGTAGCCAGGCTGAGCCCACCCCTTCAATGAGTAGGCTTTCCTCTCTAGACCCCACTTGGTGTCAAGAGGAGGCTGGGGGAGGGCTGTGTGCTCTCTCTTGGGAACCTACAGGCAGTTGGGCTAGGAATACCAGCCACACAGTTCCCACTTTGCTGCCAGACCCTGTCGCCTTCTTAGAATCCCTAAGAAGCAGGAGGAATGGATGGGTATTCAGGCCCAGGGATTCAGGCCTAGCTCTCCTCCCTCAGACCCAGGGGTCCAGGCCTCAGCCCTCCTCCCCCAGACCCAGGCATCCAGGATCCAGCCTTCCTCCCTCAGACCCAAGGGTCTAGGGCCCAGCAGTCCTACCTGGTCCCTCTCCATCCTTCCTGGCCTAACATCCCTGGGCTCGTGGCCCCGCCCTCACCTCCGGGGGCTGCAACTGTCCCTGCTCGCCCTCCTCCTCCTCCTCCTCCTCGTCCTCCTCCGGCGCAGTGTCCTCGTGTGTGAAGGGTACGGCGCTGGCGGGCGAGTGGAAGCGCAGGCGGTAGAGCAGACGCACCCAGCGGCCGAACTCGCGGTCGCGGGTCTCTGCAGATGCGCGCAGCTGCAGGTAGAAGGCACGACCAGTGCGGAACTTGACCTTGAGCTGGTGGCGGCTCTCATCATGCACGAAGAGCTGCACGAACTGCAAGGGGAACAGCCTGACGGGAGAGGGGCGGCTCAGTTGCGGCCTCTTGCGCCTCGTGTTTCTAGCCCTGTCGCGGTCCCTGCGGGCACTCCTAATTCTGGATGGGCCGTGGAATGCCTACGGTGGCCCTCTCTCACACTTTGCTGCCAGACCTGGTCCTGTCCCATTGCCAGGTCCTCACAGCTGCACCTGAGCTGCATCAGGCCACGCTTAGCATCTTAGCTTGGCCCAACCAAAGTCAGGGCGAGGTCCTCCCTGTGGACCGGAAGCCCCTGCTTGGGGAGGTCTCCTCTGGCCTATTATACTCTCCATCACCCCATGTGACAGGTCCCCACCTCTGCTGTTTCCTTCACCTGTGCCTACAATGTGAGCTCCTTGGATTCTGAACTCTGGCCTGATTTGGCCCCGTCCTGTTTTCCCTAATATGGTAAACCACTGAAAGGATGCTTGACGAATATTTGAATAAACAAATTGCTCAGGCTTTCAGCTAGATTTAAGGTCCTACAAAGGAAAGGAAGATATAGTCCCAAGAGAGTAAGTAACCTGGCCCAGGCCACACAGCGGGGGCGGAACAAGGCCTATGTTCATACCCCTGGAGTTTGTTAGCTACAGCAGTTTCACCACAGCCCCCTCTGGTCTGGTCACAGTACCTCTAGGACCTAATGTGTCCAGTCTCCTCACTCCTGTGCACACAAACACATATAACACATGCTCCCTGTTACCCGGTGACCAAGTCCATGGACAAAACTCGTGTCCTTCTGTGGACAATGGGTACCCCTAAGTGTAACAGCAGTTGGTGACACTTACACACTGCTTACACTGTGACAGGTGCTTCATGAAAGACAAATAGGAAGGACTGTCCTGCGCCCCCCTCCGCCCAATGTTCCAGATGAGGAGACTGAGGCACAGGAAAGAGGAAGACAATGTTTTGATCCCAAGCTCTGGGATTGCTGACTTGTTCAAGAATGTCCCAGTCACAAGAGTCAAGTTGGCTCAGCCTGGATCCAGGAATAGCCTGGAGTAGGGTGGGGCTAATTGCCAACAGGGTTGGTTTTGTTTTGTAGACAAGGTTATCCCAGGCTCATGGTGTGGAATTGGTTATGTCATTGAGTCTAGCCCTGAACTTCTGATCCTCCTGCCTCCACCTCCCGAGGGCTGGGATTACAGTTCTGAAGCACTTTGTCGGCTGCAGGCAGGAGAGGACAGACAGTCAGAGGGACTCCAAGCTTGCGTTTAATATTCAAACACTGTTGTTGGAAACAGTGCAGTTTACCAGGACAGAAACCCGCTTTGAGCAATGTTCTCCACTAGGCAAGGAGACACCTGGGTGAATTCAGGTGCATTTCCCCCTTTCTTTCTGCTTTTTTTGAAGCAAGGTCTCATATAGCCCTGGCTGAATTTGGAGACAGTCTGACCTTAATCTCAGAGATGTACCACCTGCCTCTGCCTCTGCAGTGCTATGATTAAAGATGTGAACCACCCTGTACAGCCAAAATCTTTCTATTCTTCCCTTCCTCCCTTCCTTCTTGCGCATGCTATAGCCCAAGGCCTCTTTAAAATGACTTGAATGTATATGTGCACTGGCATGTGGTGCTCATAGTCAAATGTGTTCCTTCATCATATTCTCTCACCTCATTTTTTGGGACAGGGTTTCTCACTGAACCTGGAGCCAAATGATTGGGTAGACTGGCTGGCCAACAAGCTCTGAGGATCCTCCTGTTTAGTCTTTCCCAACACTGGGATTATCATGGGACCTGGCTTTTTATTGTTTTGGTTTTCAAGATAGGGTTTTTCTGGCTGTCCTGGAACTCATAGAGATCCACCTGCCTCTGCCTCCCAAGTGCTGGAATTAAAGGTGTGCGCCACCACCGCCCGGCTGGTGCCAGGCTTTTTACATGGCTGTTGGGGATTCAAACTCAGATTTTCATGCTCGCCTGCGAACACGTTACTGACCGAGTCATCCCCCCAGTAGCCCCTTTTTACTTTTTACCTTAAGACAAAGGTCTCACTAAGCTGTCCAGACTGTCCTGGGAGCCACTCTTATAGCTCAAGCTGGCCTTGAACTTGTAATTCTCCTGTCTCAGCCTTCCAAGTAGCTTGTACCATTAGGCTTGGCCAGTTTCTATTTTCTCCCTGTCTTCCATGAACTGAGATAGGATGGGAAAGGATGCAGGTCCCACAAGAATACCAGAGTATGCACATGTACTCCAAGTATGTAAATGTTTGCTGTTCACAGCTGAAGCAGGGCAGGGGCCTAGGCTGGGAAAAGGGATGTTCTGAGTGTGAGGTTTGTACTTGGCAGTGTTTGATTTCTACATGTGAAGTTTTCAGTGAGAGGAGCAGAGTGGAACTGTGCACTTGAACTCAGTACTTTGAGATCAGGATTGGGAGGGGCCTCAGGTTCTAGTCCCAGCTCCTCACATGCTCTATGGGATCATGGGCCATGGGTCTGGGCTCTGAGCCTTACTTTATCTCTCTGGGACAGAGGAGCACCTGGAAAGCAGAAAGCATTGTGTAAACAGTCACCATCCTGACACTGTGGTGTCACTGAGAACTGTCCTTCTCTTCTCGCCTGACTTCTGACCTTGTGAACTTCCCTGTCATCTCTCTGAGTGGAGGGGCCCGGTAAGTATTTTGGTGGTGCTCTTGGTCCCCAAAACCTGGGTAGCAGAATGGTGGCTGTAAGGTTGGAGGAGGTTGGGACCAGGAAGGGCAGTCACCCGAGGAGCTGCAGGCGTCCACTCTCCTTGTCAGGGCCAGCCAGCAGCAGCAGGTCTGGCAGTTCCAGGGCTGGACTAGAGGCTGCCACCCCCATGGTGACCTTGTTGGCGACTTCTCCAAACCGGGTCACCTGGGGCCAGAGGTTAGAGGCAGGATAGATGGAGAACAGAATTGAACAGAAATCTGGTGGGTGTCGGGAATCTTGACAGGGTCATGAACTAGGGGAGTTGAAAGCAGGTTGGGGGCTGGAAATATGACGGCTCAGTATATTGCACCTGCCTAGAACCCCCTAGTGCGAGGCCCCGGGGTGTAGCTCAGTGGTAGAGCTCCTGCCTAACGTGAGCCCTGGGTGCTATCCACAGTACCACAAAAGAAAAAAGGTTGTGGGCCACATATTTTAGGATTAAGGGATAACAACCATATATGTGTGCAGTCAATGAAACTGAGACAAAGGCTTCTGAAGCCACAAACAAGCCAAAGGCTTGGCGGTGTGAGGTGAGAGGGCTCAGGGGTTATGTGAACACTTGGGGAGTTCGACAGGGCGATGGATCATGGGGGCCAGGCACAGGTCGCAGAGCAGGGGCTCCGTACAACCAAGGGGCGGAGGTCCGGGGCTCCACACCTGCACGAAGTTGCTCTCAAAGATGGGGAAGTCGCGCAGCTGGTCGAACTCGCCGCTCAGGAGGTGGCGCTGGAGGCGCCCAGGGCGGCACGGGGCGTAGGCGGGAACCACGGGGCGGTCTGCAGGGGCGAAGGGCTGGCATCCACCCCAGGAGGCCAGGTACGACTCCCCCGACAGGGGACGCACGCGAGGCAGCGGCCTCCGCATTGCCGGTCCCATGCCTTCCCGGGCTCCCTCACCAGGGCCAACCCCTCCGCGCTGGGAGCCTCCTCTCACCTGCCATCCCATCTGAACCGGCCTCACCAGCTCCACCCCGGACAGGCTTAAGATCGCGCCCGCCCTTCATCGCCACGCCCCGGCCCCGGGTGGGAACGCAGGGTGGAGCCAAACCGGAGAGCTAGGGGGCGGGGCTAGCGCCTGTGACATCACAATAAACGCCTAGCGTTCGATGACGTCACGGACGCGGCCGCTCTCTCCTGGGAGGTACAGCCGGGAGGGTGGGCCTTAGAGACCCGGATGGAGAAATGGCCGCCGTCACCGAGGGGGCAGGCGACCGGGTGCTAGTGCGCAGGGGCGGCACGCGGCGCAGGCGCATGAGCCTCAGCATGCACGCTGTGGTTCCCGGCGTGCTTTACGGCGCTGGGCTCTTCTCAGATCCTCGGTATGGTGACCGCGGGTGCTAGGGCCACCCGGCTGCTCGTGCTCTTGCTGATAGCAGCCGCGGCTCCGAGTAGGGCCCGAGGCAGCGGCTGCCGGGTCGGGGCGGCCGCGCGCGGGGTGAGTGCTCGCGGCCGGGGTGGAGCGGCCCCCTGCGGGCGCTAGATGGGCTCGCATCGTGAATATTCATGAGAGGATGCGGTCTGTTTGGAACCTAAGCTGACTAAGAATGAGGCTTGGCGTGGTGGTGCACGCCCTTCTCCCCAGTGCTCGGGAGGCTGAGGCTGGAGGATCAAGGAAGGAGTTTGAGGCCAGCCTGGGCTGCATGAGATTGTCTCAAAAATACAAAAAAAGAGTGGGTGTGATGGTGCACGCTTTCAATTTCAGTATTCGAGAGGCAGAGACAGGTGAGTGCGAGACCAGCCAGGGCTACATAGTGAGACCCAGACTCAATAAATAATAAAGATAGAGCGCTAGCGCCCGAGCGCTAGGGGGGGAGTCGTATTCCTGAATTCGCATGACGGAGCCAGGTCCTCATTGGCATAAATGTTGTAGGATGCCTGGGTAGGGGAAGCTTGAAGTTAAGACGTAAAACGCATAGGCCTTGGCGTGGAGTTGCAGTCCTGATATCCTAGGAGTTCAAGGGCTACCTAAGGCCCTGTTTCCCACACACACAAAAAAGGATGCTGGAGAGATGGGGGAAATAAGAGCACTGGCTGCTCTTCCAGAGTATTCGAGTTCGACACCTAGCACCCACCTGGCTGCTCACAACTGTAACACCCTCTTCTGGCCTACCAGGTACCAGGTGTGCACATGGGGCACAGATGTACATGCAGCAAACACCCATACACAAATTCAAAACAAAACAAATGAAGCAGGTGGTGGTTATACTTATCTGTAATCCCAGCACTCAGCAGGCTGAGGCAGGAGGATCGTCTTGAGATTAGACCAGCCTGGGAGTGGTTTAGTGGGACTGTTTCAGAACATGGAAAAAAAGTGTAGGATCAAGAATATACTGGAAAAGGGTGGAATTCTTGACAGTGTGAGTCAGGATATTAACATATATGCAAAGGAAGCCAGTACCTGTGAACTCATGAATGAAAAGCTTGACAGTGACCTGGGGAGCAGAGAGCATGGTGGTGCTTGCCTGTAATACTAGCACTAGGAGGTGGGGGCAAGGGGATCATGAGTTAGAGACCAGCTTGGACTATGCAGTGAGACTATCTCAACAACAACAACAAGGAAAAAACCCAACTAGCCAAACAAAGATAATGACCTGGGCCTTGGACATGAGAATAACATTTAAGCATGTTTATGTGGTTTTCTTTTGAGCTATGGAAACTACTCTGAATATTCATGAGCGGCCAGTCCTGGGGAAGGAACCTATCATTTAATGTGAACATGAAGATAAGGCTTGTCCTTCAATCTGTCATTCTGTTCTGGGGCCAGTTGGTTCTGCCCTGCCCAGAATTTGAGTGGTCTTTACCTGAGGTCCCTGTCTCTCCTGTAGGCTGGGGCTGATGGCCGTGAAGGTGAAGGCTGTGGTACTGTGGGATTGCTGCTGGAGCATTCATTTGAGATTGGTGAGTTCATTGTGTGTTCAAACTTACACATACCCAGTGAGATCTAACAGCCTGCTGGGGAGAGGGTGGAAACAGCAGATAGGTGAAGAGAAGCTGTTTTTACATGCCCTATACCTGGCTTCAAGGGTTCAAGGATTGAGTGCTTCCCCAGCATGTCCAAGGGCTTGGATTGCATCTCTGTTAATGGAAATTACACGCACACGCACATATCACGCCACACACATGCATAGATACATGTGTACACATATGTGTTTGTGCACATGTACATGTGTACGTGTACATGTGCATATAATAAAGGTACATGTGTGATGGCTAAAGAAACCCCATTTTATGCCAGGCATCCCATCTTGATACCTACTACCTGTTTGTCCCTGACTCCAGCACCTGGAAGATAAGCTCTCAGTAACCCTGACTTAGTGACCCCCCCCAAATGTCTGACCATCTGTCTACTTGTTATTATATGGCTAATTGTTTTCTTGGCTTCTGTAACTTGCTCAAAGGTTGTTTTGAGTTGCTGTGACCACTTGGCAGTTTTTGCTTGCTTGTATAGAGATGGAAGGTCGCCTTTAGAAACCCTTTCCCATACTCCTTCACGACATGCCTGAGATTCAGCTTTAAGGCTGTCTAATCAAGAAACCTTTTAATTATTTCCGGATGGCGGTGGCGCACGCCTTTAATCCCAGCACTCGGGAGGCAGGGCCAGGCGGATCTCTGTGAGTCCTTTTAATTATAATTGGATTGAGTCTATGGTCTTTTCCCAGGACTCACAAACTCCGTAACACATGCGTGTGCTTTTCTTTTTCTTTCACATTTTTAAAATTTCCTTTTCTTTCACAGTTCTAGTCATAGTCCATCATAGTAGGAACTGTAACCAGCTGGTTACAGTCACATCCACAGTTCAGAGCAGAGAGAGTTAATGTATGCATGCTCACTTGTGCTCAGCCCCTCTCTACACTTAACGCACTCAGGGACCAAACCACAGTGGGGGCCTTCCTACCTAATGAATGTAAATATTCGCCCACAGCCCAGCCTGACCCAGACAGTCCCTCACTGAGACTGTTTCCTTGTGATTCTAGATTGTGTCAAGTTACAATTAAAACTAGCCATCAGGGTCCCTGACTACTCATACTCATGTGGCCAGCTGTTAAATATTGACAGGATCTCCCTCTATAAAATGTACTATTGATTTGCTCTAATAAAGTTTTCTTTCACAGAAATTAAATAGAACAAGTTAACATCACATGTATACATCTGGGTGCACACATATGCATGTGTGTATATATATATACACACATGTATGTATACATTCATATGCACACATATATATGCATCTGTGTGTGTGTGTGTCTGGGGCACGCGGGGCCCCTCTTTCAGGGAAGGCAGAGCTGAGCCAGCCTCAACATCTGCCTGACGAAAGGGGCTGCGACCAGTCAGCTCAGAGCTTGCTGTTTGCTTTGCGCACAGCTCCTTACTGTTGTCAGGCACTTGTGACAGTCCAGGCCCTGGTTGACCCAGAGAGTTTTCTAACCATCCCAGAGTTATCCATGAAGGCAGTGCAGGCCATGGGGCCTCAGGCTGGGCTGCCCTGACAGCAGGCACGTGGGCCAAGAAGCCACCTGTCACTGAGATGGGCTTGTTGCTGAGCCCATTTCCCCACAGGTGACGGAGCCAACTTCCAGAAGCGTGGCTCGCTGCTCTGGAACCAGCAGGACGGCACCTTGTCCGCGACACAACGGCAGCTCAGTGAGGAGGAGCGGGGCCGGCTCCGGGTGAGCTTGGGGCCCCAGGGCCTCTGCAGATGAACGGGCTTGGCGCCCAGCTCAGCCACCCCTCCCTATGGGGTACCTTCTTACCTTCCCAAGAGGCTCCTTCAAGTGCAGCCTTGTCTGCTGGGCTCTGCCCTTGCTCCCACTGAATGCTGGCGTGTTGACAGTTTTACTTCTGCCCAGTGTGGGGGAGGCAGGGGAACTTGCTTTGCTGCAGTGGCCATGTGCCTGGGCGTCTTCTGTGTGCAGGAAGGCAGCAAGAGGCCTGCTGGCTGCCTCTGCCTGCTCTCCATGTGATTCTCTGCCCTAGCTGCCCCCACAGGCAACCATTTGTGGTACCTGGGTTGAGGTGTGTATGGGATGGGGACCAGGTGTGGCTGCATCCAGGCTCAGCAGTGCTTAGATGAACATTTGTTGATGTAGCAATGATGGCTTCTCCACCAGGGGGAGGGCAGCCCAGCTGTTTTAGCACCACTTGGTAGCCAGGGGGAAGAGTTCTGCGCAGACTCTTGTCGGCCAAGGGTTGTGGGAGGTGCTGTGAGGACAAGGCCGGGGAAGCATTCTCTTGACCAGCCTGGTGTGCTGGCACTGTCCAGTTCATGGGCCTCTGCGTACCCTCCAGGATGTGGCTGCCGTCAATGGCCTCTACAGGGTCCGGGTCCCAAGACGGCCTGGGGTACTTGATGGTTCAGAAGCTGGAGGCTATGTGTCTTCCTTTGTCCCAGCGGTAAGTCACTCATGAGGACTGCCTACATCCTCATCCCTGCCTGCCTCAGTGTCCCCACCCTTCATCGAGCCCCTCCTGTGAAGTCCCGTAGTTGTTGATGGTCCAAGGGGCCTGGGGATGGGTGTGGGGGCTCTGGAGGATGCTTGTGCATTTGTGGGGGAACGCTGGGTAGCTCTCCCTGACTGCTCCTCCCCCACCCCATCTGCCACAGTGCTCCCTGGTGGAGTCACACCTCTCGGACCAGCTGACCTTGCATGTGGATGTGGCTGGCAACGTGGTGGGACTGTCGGTGGTAGCGTACCCCGGGGGCTGCCGGGGCTCTGAGGTAGAAGACGAGGACCTGGAGCTGTTCAATACATCTGTGCAGCTGCGGCCTCCAGGCACTGCCCCAGGGTGAGTGCTGGAGGGAGGCCAGGGCCCCTGGCTGCCGAGGCACCCAGCTCCAGGGCTTTAGCTTTCATCTTGCCCCTTCCCTTCCATGTTCAGCCCTGAGACTGCAGCCTTCATTGAGCGCCTAGAGATGGAGCAGGCCCAGAAGGCGAAGAATCCTCAGGAGCAGAAGTCATTCTTTGCCAAATACGTGAGTGTGGCTCCTTCCCCTCCCCGCAGCAGGTGGCCTGTGTGTGTTCCTCTGGTGGGAGGCTGAGGGCTGTGGACCCCACCTGAGTTGTCCGGGGCTGAGTGGCTCGAGAAGCCCGACCACCTGGCCTGGCCTGGGGGTCTGCAGGCACAGGCATCCCAGGCCTGTCGGGAGCAGAGCAGCGTGGAAGGTAGCTGGGTGTGGACAGACAAGCTGTGGGCATGCGTGGAGGGCTCGGCGGGAAAGGGCCACCAGTGTTCAGAGAAGTGAGGGAGTTTGAAGAGGTTGAATCCATGGGAGGCCCAGGGCCAGGAGGCAGTAGCCCTGGAGTAGTGTAAGAGGCGCAGGTGGAGGTGCAGAGGAGCCCAGGAGGGCGGCTGCTGGCCCGAGGAGTCTAATGCCCAGGCTTTTGAATGGGGCTGGAGTTAAGGGGCAGACCCTCCTGAGGAGGCCGGCTGTGCGTAGTCCTCTATCCCTTGAGGCTGGAGACTTCTGCCAGGCCCAACAAGGTGAGGACCCAGCAAGGCCAGCAGGACTCAAGGGTGAGGTGGGAGTGTGCTGAGGCCAGTGGCATTGGGCCAAGCACCTTTCCCTAGGGGCCTCAGAAGCCCCCATGTCCGGACCTGAGGCCCGGCAAACCTCAGCCCTTGCGTCTCTGCACTTACTTGAGGGCTGGCCCTTCCCATGACCAGGCTGCTGACCTGCCTCCCTCCTCCCTCAGTGGCACCTCATCCTGGGGGGGGCCGTGTTGCTCACAGCCCTGCGTCCTGCTGCCCCAGGGCCTGCGCCAGCGCCAACGGAGGCCTAAGTGAGGACCCAGACCCCTGCCCGCCTTGCCCTCTGCCCACACCCTCCTGCCCCTGCCTTGGCCCTGCCTGTAGTGACTAGGGGACCCAGCCCCTCCCTTCCATGGCCCCCATCCTGGACCAGCCTCATCACTTACATCCCTTCCCCTCTATCTCTTTGTCCACCTGTCCCACCTGCAGTGGATGTACATCATTCCAGTTGTGCTGTTCCTCATGATGTCGGGAGCACCAGACGCTGGGGGCCAGGGCGGCGGTGGGGGTGGGGGCAGCGGCCGGTGAGCAGCTGTTCCACCTAGAGTCCCCCAGAGCTTCCTGTCCTTGGCAAGCCCACGAAGAAGTTCCTGTCCCTCCATCTCCCTGTTGCATGACCATGGAAGGCTCTCCCTTCCCAGGAGCCGTTGGCCTTCTTGCAGGTCCTTCCTTCTCCCCCTGAGCCTCTCTGTGTTGACTGAGAGCCAGGGTGCGCCTCCCTGTAGCCCCTCAGGCCCACTGGCTTCCCTGGGTGCTGTGTGCCTGTGCCCTGCCGTGCAGCACTGTGTCCCTTTGCTGAACACCCACTATCCCCACCCACACCACTCCACCATGTAGTTTGGGAACATGCCAAGTTCTCTCCAGCCTCTGTGCCTTTGTCCCCATGCTCCATGCACCCCTCACTGTCACACTCAGGCTCCTTGCCAAGGATGTGTGGCCAGGAGGCCTCTGCTGCTGGTGGCCGGGTCTGCCTGCACAGTGTGTTGAAGCCTCCGGCCCACTGTCCATTTGGCATTCTGTACTCTTTGCCCCCCTTCCTGGTGCCCCAGAAAACTATGGTGACTTCCTTTCTGTCTCTGGATGTCCCACTCGGGGTACAGCACCAGGAGAGAATTGTGAGTCTCGTCATTAGTCTGTCTTTTGTAATGTAACTCTGGCAATTTGCGTGCGTGTTTTGAGAGCCTGGTTTGAGCTAGCTGCTTGACAGCTGCCGGTGTGGCCGTGCACTTGCACACGTGTGTGGCCCTGGGCGTGGGGTGCTGTGTAGCCTCAGCTGTGTTGGGCGGCTGCTGATTAAACCGTTCCCCAGACAGCCGCCGTTCATCTCGCTTCCTGCCTTCTGTGGTTGTAAGTGGTCCCGAGGGCTGCTGTCATCTGCCTGATTTATGTTTGGATGGCGTCTTAGGACGTGTTACAGAGGGATGCCTGGGGCAGATTAAAAGTGTGGGAACAGGGACACCTTCCAACTGCAGGAGGAGGCTGGTTCCTGACCCTCCTGGCACATTTGTTCATTCCCTTCCCAGAACATCTACACTTGTTGGCACAGCAGCTGCACCGTTCGTATTGTCCCCTCACTAGATGGCCAGGGTGTAACCTGGCCTCGTGTGTTGGTGCATTTGCTATCAATTGGAATCCCAGCATTCAGTAGGCGAAGGCTGCCTGAGCTCCATAGTGACTTTAAGGCTAGTCTAGGCTACATAGCAAGACCCTGTCTTAAAGAACCAGTGGGGTTCAGTTGGTAGAATGCTTGCTTCACATGCGTGAAGCTGTGGGTTCCATTCCCAGCAGTGCATAATCCAGCTGTACATGGTGGCACACACTCATGGCAGCACTCGGGAGCCAGGAGGGTCAGAAGTTCAAGGTGTTGCTTGGCTAGTTAGCAGGTTTGAGGCTAGCCTGGGCTACTTGAGACTCCCTGCTCACAAATAACAAAAACCAAGACCGTTCTCTGCACTTTGAGCCTGCCCTGTGAGGACCAGTTTCCTTAGTCCGGTGACTGCAGGTGTGACCTGGAGTTGGAGTCACATTTGTGCTGTGGTGATGCCGCACCTGACAGGAGCAGCTGAGGGGGAAGGCTGAGCAGGCTCATGGTTCAGAGGGCTTTCGCCCATCCTTGTGGGGTTGGCCTGACAGGGCTGCTTAATTCATACAAGCCAGGATGTGACGGAGGCTGCTCGTATCCTGGTAGACGGGACGCTGAGGGAAACGTAGTAGTGTGGGTCAGAGAGACCTTTAAAGGCCTACTCAAGGTCTCCCACCCCTCAAGGTCTACTCCCTCCAGCTGGGTCCCACCTGTGAAGGTTCCCTAACCTCTCAGAACAGCACTGCCTGGGACATCGGTCTGTCAGGGATGTTTCACTGTCACACCATAACACAGTGCTCCAGTTATAAAAGCCTCCCCAACAGGCCATCCTCAGGTGTGGGCTTGGGAAACGGCAAAATGCCACCTGTCACACCTGTTCAGCAGCCAGAAACCTCCAGCCTGCCATCTCCACATCAGCTCACAGTCGTGTGTCCCCTTGTGGTGTCCTCTTCCTGAGCCTCCATGCCCCCAGCTGCTTCTCCCTGGCCAGTGTGGCTACTCAGACCCCTGCACACCATAGTGTGACAGATGGCCCGGGGCCCAGGGGCTTGGCCAGTTCTCGTCCCCTTGCTGTTGATGGAAGTTGACTGTTCTGCATGGAGTGGTGGCCTAGCGTCTTGCCAACTTCCATGGTGACCAGGATGACAGCCGCAGAGGCTGTGCTTCCTGTCTCTATTCTGTGCTGACCTCTTTTCTGATTACTACAGAGGCACAGTCTGATGGCTTTTTCTGGAAGGTTTGGTATGCAGATCTCAACTTGGTCTGATTGTCAGTGCTGCCTTCTGGGCTGGAATGTAACTTGGTGGTTAGATGCTTGCCCAGCATGTCTAAGGAAGACGCTGGGTCCATTTACAGCACTGCCAAACAATCCAGAATATATAAAGAACTGGAAAAACTAAGAAATCAAAACAGCTTAAGGGGTAGATGAGCTAATGAAATGAATAGACTGCCCTCAAAGGATGAGAAACAGACAGTAGAGATGAAGAGTGTTCACAGGTTGTCAGGGAAGTGAAGGCTGGGGTGTGGTGCACGTAGAGTGCTTGCCATTACCTACGAGGCCCTGGATTCAAACAGCAAGAGCCTATGTTGAGAGTCTGCCTCACCCCAGCCAGTTAAATCAAGTGCAGGCTGGGGTGTGTGTGACATCGAGCTCTCACTGCTGGTGGGAGTGCAAACCATCCCAACCTCTGTGGAAGTGGGTACAGAAGGTCCTCAAGAAATTGGTGTTAGGTCTTCCACACCAGCTAGGTCTGATGCAACTCTGCCTCGTGAGCACTTCCCTGAAGTCTGGGATGCCAGCGTTCCAGAGGAGCTCCCGCACGATGACTGCAGAGCATGGAACTACCCCCGGTGTCCAGTGACAGCAGAGTGGGGGAGGAAAATACAAATATACAATGGAGTTGTTTTCAGTCATAAAGAATGAAACCGTGTTTACAGGAAAATTGTTGCAGCTAAGCCTGGCTGAGACACATGAAACACGTAGCCTCTCATTTGTGGTTCCTAGATTTTATAAACATGATCAGAAGTGAAACTATCCAGAAGGATGAAGAATAACAGGAAGAGAAGGGGAGGCGGGCTGGGTGCGTATGGCAGATGTGCTCTCATACAAGGCCCACATTTGGGACTGGTGGGATGGTTCAGCAGCTGAAGGTGCCGCTAAGCCTGATGACCTGAGATCCATATGGTAGACAAATGACTCCTCGAGGTGTCCTTAGACCTCTCCTGCAGGTCACAGCAAGTTGTGTGTGTGTGAGGGAGAGAGGAGAAAGAATTTTCAAACTTGAGCATGTGCCAGAACTTCTGAGAAGCTCCAGGTGCAGAGCCCTCTTCACATTTGGTGGATGGAGCTGTGGTGTCTGTGGCTGGTGGCTTGGCTTCCCCTCCACTTGAGGTTGTTTTCAGCCAGCGCTTCTGTGCTCTAGCTGCTGAATCCATTAGACACTCTGGGGCTCCATCCCAGCTAAACTCACAGTTCTTGTGAGTTCCCAGAGAGCTAGCTCGCTGTCCAGGGTGCTAGGGATTTAGACACAGTAGCGCCCCATCCCTGCTCCCCTATGGGAGCAGCTGCTGTCGGTGCAGACAGAGGGCAACAGCAGTCTCTGCAGGATGGTCTTGCAAAAGCCTATAGCTCTTGTGTGACACATGCTGGCGAAGGCTCCAGCCACCTCCTCCCATCTCTAGCTTATTCTGTTCACAGCCAGTCATCAGTGGGTCTCTGGGTCTGCTTGGCCAGTGCTGCAGGAGACCTGTACACCTGCGTTGTTCCTGCTTGCTTTCTTTCTTTCTTTCACCATATGTATCTGCAGGATGCTTGGCCAGATGACTTGCTGGGTGAGATCTGAGCTTGCGTGTGCACGTTATGCGTTCTCACTTGTGCTTTGGGCCGTGTTGCACTCTGCCTCAGCTCGCTCCTGTCAGTGGCTCCAACAGCCTTGCTTCCCTGACTGGCCCTAGATCCTCCAGACTGCACCTCATCTGCCACTCAGCTCCCTGTGCCTCTGCCCCTGCACAGTGGCTCCTGGATCATTGCTCTAGAAATACTATCATTGGTCCAGCCTTAGGACAGGGTCCTGCTCCGCACCATCCCCCACCTCACCATTCCTGCCCCTTCAGGCTGCCCCAGAGGTAGCCCTGTAGTAAGACACCCACCTGGACCTTCAGTCTGGCCTTCACCCTGACCTTCCCACCCATGGCATTCCCCACCCTCTGTCCATCCCATCTTGGGCTTCCAACACCAGAGCTGACTCCATTGCTGCCCTCTCGTGGCTTCTAGCACCCACAGGACAAACTCCCAGCCCACTCATCCTGGCCTGGCATTTGATGCCCATAATCAGTGCATCAGGCCAGGCTTCTTAAACTCTGTCTTCCTGCCACAATCACTGTGTCCACTTAGCTGGTCCCAGCTCAGCCCTTGGTCCTCTCCTGGACCCTCCTTAGCTTGTTGGCCTCAGGCATAAGCTGGAGGTGGGTCAGGGGGTAGACGATCCCCCTTTCCTTGCCCCATGCATGGATGCCCTTCTCTTTTCCCCAGGAAGATTCCCCTTTCTGACTTCTAGCTTCAGGCTGGCACTTAATCTGCCCTCGGCTACTTTGATATCTTGTGTGACTCTGCTGCCCCATTGTAGCTGCTGGAATTCAGGGAAATACTCTGACCAGAGCAGGGGCCATTCTTGGGCTTCTAGCTGTTCCCCACTGACCTGGCTAGTTCTAGTCAACTTGATATAAACTGGAGCCATCTGAAAGGAGGAAGCCACAACTGAGAAAATACCTCCATAAGATCCGGCTCTAGGGCATTTTTTTCTTTTTCTCTCCCACCTCCAACAGGGTTTCTGTGTGTAGTCCTGGCTGTCCAGGAACTCACTCTGTAGAACAGGCTGGCCTTGAACTCAGAGATCCGCCTTCTCATTAAATGTGTGTACCGCCACCAGCTGGCTGATTTGTCTTAGTTGTTGATGGGGGAGGCACAGCTCATTGTGGGTGGTGCCATCCCTGGGCAGGTGGTATTGGGTGCTATAAGAAAGCAGGCTGAACAAGCCATGAGGAGCACGCCAGTAAGCAGCTCCCTTCCATGGCCTCTGCATCAACTCCGGCCTCCAGATTCTTTCCCTGTCCCGAGTTCCTTCATGGTGAACTACAATGTGGAGGTGTAAGCCAAATAAACCCTTTCCTCCCCAACTTCCTTTTGGCCATGGTGATTTCATCACAGCAATAGAAACCCTAACTAAGAAATAGAAACCCTAACTAAGATACCCACCATCGCTTGCACCCACCTTCCATTCAGCAAGATGATGGCTTGTGCACAGACCTGCAGCCAGTTTGCATAGTCCAAGACCTGTTTTCCATTCTGTCCCCTGGTATGCCGCGTCCACCCCCTGGAATTCAGACACTGTCCTGCTGACTCACAGTGTAAGGCTCAGAGGTGTAAGACTCCATAGTCAGAGTCTGGTTGAAGCCAGGTGCAGCACAGACTTGTAATTCCAGCACTGAAGGAGTAGAAGCAGGAGGATCAGGGTCAAGGTCACCCTTGATTACCTAGGGAGTTCAAGGCCAACCTGGGTAGCATGAGACCCTGTCTCAGACAAGCAAACAAACACTTGCTGTGAATGTTTCTGTATTAGGAGTAAAAGTGTTCATTTTTACAGAATTTTCCATATCCCTTCCTCCACAGCTTCCCTCACCCCAACTGTCCTTTATTGGGGACAAATTTCAGTGCCTTATACAGCTGGGTTGCAGTTTCACTCTGTGGCAGGAGGTGGTGACAGTCCCATCAGCTACACACACACACACACACACACACACACACACACACACACACACACACACGCACACACACTCTGCTGTGCTGAGCAGTGTTGGTCCTTCAGGCAGGTGAGTCCTAAGAAGCCTCTGTCCTAGCAGCTGCTGGTCTTCAGTGTCCTGCAGGTGTTGCACAGATGTTTCCATCTGGAAAACTGAAGTCAGCGGAGGCCTTCCATTGCTGATGCCTGAAGAGGGTGGAGGGCCTGGCAGGGGACAGAGCAGTCTCATCACCCTTCACCAAGCTCCAACTTGAGTCTCAGAGCCCATCCCTGGCCAACCCAGGATCACATGCTGCTCTGGCCCCTCAACTTACACACTGTGTCTGTAGGCGGCTCTCTTTCCTCGCTCTGAGCTGATTCTTTGCTTCCTGCCTTCAGGGTCTGATTCCTCCAGGAAATGTCCAGCGTCCAGGACAGATAGAAAAAAGGAGTGTCACAAAGACCCTGCCCCACACCTGGACTCTGGCTTGGTAGCCATGTTCCAGGTAGTCAGCTTCCTGCCATGACCTTTTGTGGCCATGGTGGCGCACCTCCCTCCCAGGGTCTGGGAACCTCCCAGCACCAGGAGAGGAGTCCACTTGGGGCCCTTGGGGTTGAGAGCTGGGGGAGAAGGGAGGGAGGGAGTGCAGAGGAAAGAGGGAATAAAGAGGAAGAGAAGAGGAGGGAGAGGTCAAAGCCGAGAGAAGGGAAGAGAGAAGAATGGACAGGGCCGAGAGACAGGTCTATCAGGGAAGTGCTTGTTGTGCAGCAGGGAGACCCAAGTTTGAGTCCCCGCACCCACACAACAGCCTGGCACGTGCCTGTAACCCCAGTGCTGGGGAGGTAGAGACCAGTGGATTCCCAGGGCTTGCTGGCTGGCCAGCCTCACCAAATCAGCAAGTTACAAGTTCAGTTAAAGTGGGGAGCCTGGCTGTGATGGCACACACCTTTAATCCCAGCACTCGGGAGGCAGAGGCAGGTGGAGCTCTGAGTTCAAGGCCAACCTGGGCTACAGAGTGAGTTCCAAGGCAGTTAGGCTACACAGAGAAACCTGCCTCAAAAAACCAGCCAATAAACAAAATAAATAAATAAATAAACAAAAAAGATTAAGGTGGAGAACAACAGAGGAGACACCAGTGCTGTGGGATGGTCTGTATGACAAATGAGTTGCTGATTAGTCAATAAATAAAACACTGATTGGCCATTGGCTAGGCAGGAAGTGTAGGCGGGACAAGGAGGAGAATAAAGCTGGGAAGTGGAAGGCTGAGTCAGAGAGACACTGCCAGCCGCCACGATGACAAACAGCATGTGAAGATGCCGGTAAGCCACGAGCCATGTGGCAAGGTATAGATTAGTGGAAATGGATTAATTTAAGCTGTAAGGACAGTTAGCAAGAAGCCTGCCATGGCCATACAGTTTGTAACCAATACAAGTCTCTGTGTTTACTTGGTCGGGTCTGAGCGGCTGTGGGACTGGCAGGTGAGAGAGATTTGTCCTGACTGTGGGCCAGGCAGGAAAACTCTAGCAACACACCAGATGTTGACTTCTTCGCCCCACACACATGTACTCACAAGTGAGTACACTATAAACATTCATGCACATACAAACTAAAAAAAAATTTTAAATGGGTGATACCTAAGGTTGACTTCTGTCCTATACCACACACACACACACACACACACACACACACACACACACACCCCTGGAGGTGATAGGAAGAGTGCAAGACAGAGAGGCAGGAAAACCAGGAGGGCCACAGCAGTGCAAGGGACAGAGTATAGCACCACGAGGGGCGCCAGAGAGAGGGGTGAGCTAGAAAGGAGAAGGGAGAGGCCATCAGCCAGTGTCATGGAACAGGATAGAGGGGTGAGTAGGAGAGACTGAAAGCAAAGGTAAGGAAGGGAGGGAAATGATCAGGGAAGATAAAGAGCAGAGAGCCAAGGGAGATGGGGGCACCTTGTAAGTTTAAATGAGGAGGGAGGGACATCAGGATGGGGGTTACAGAGCTGGTGGGAGAGCCTGGGTTACAGAGAAACTGGAGGAAGAGAGAGTGGTGGTAGGGAATGGAACAAAAGCAGATTCCAGAAGGAACAGTGAGAGCAAGGACAGAAAGGAAACAGGGCAGAGAGCCCCAGGAAGCGGGGAATGGGAAGCCTAGGGAGGGGAAGGAGTTGTGAGTGGAGAAGAGAGCAAGGAAGACATGGCAGGTAGAGGAGGTGAGGGGAGTGGAGTGTACTGAACACCCTTGATCACATTCCTTATGGGACTCAGAGCCAGACAGGACTGTGTGGGGGCACCCAGGAGGACATCAAACCCTGGGTATCCTGTCTCCACATCCTCTGAGGCAGGGACCAGTCTAGAGACCCAGCACAGGTGAGAGGGAAGGGTCCAGAGGGAAAGGGGGAAGGCTGAAAACAGGGGAGAAGGACAAAGAGGAGTCAGGACAAGGCAGGAAGGGGCTGTGAGGGAGAAATGAGCAGGGGGGGTGGTGCACGCTTTTAATCCCAGCACTCAGGAGGCAGAGGCAGGTGGGTTCGAGTTCGAGGCCAGCATGATCTACAGAGTGAGTTCTAGGACAGCCAGGACTGTTACACAGATAAACCCTGTCTCAAAAAACCAAAAGGAGACAAAGAAATTAGAGTGTGTCTAAGATATAGAGCAGAGGGAGATAGAGGGATAAAGGAAGGTGTGAAGGTGCCAGAGGAAATGAGAGGAAAAGGAGGAGAGAGAGGGCAAGAGAAAGCGAGGCACTGAAGCAGGGGACTAGGAGGGGCGGTCGAGGAGGAGGAGGAGGAGGAGGAGGCTGCAGAGAAGAAGGAGTTGCAGAGGATAAGGAAGAGGAGAGGAGAAGGGGGGACGAAGGCAGAAGAGGAGATTGTAGGAAAGGAGGAAGGAAGGAAGAGAAAAGGAGGAAGGGACCAGGGACAAGACAGAGCGGGAGCAAACAGAGAAAGGTGAGGAGACGTGGGTGGGTGGGGAGGAGGAGGAGGAGGACCAAAAAGAGGAGGAAGAGAAGAGGGGAGGAGAGAGTATGGCAGAAAGAGGGGACAGAAGAAAAGGAGAAGAGGAGAACAGGTGTTGGAATGGGAAGAAGAAAGGTCACCAAGGAAAGAGTGGGCCAGGAGAGGCACGTGACCGAGCACAGAGCAACAGGACGCCAATAGGAAACAGGAGACATCAACAACAGAAGAGCAGGAGGAAGAGGAGGGGGCAGAAAAGAGAGTGAAGAGGAGGGGGCAGAAGAGAGTGAAGAGGAGGGGGCAGAAAAGAGAGTGAAGAGGAGGGGGCAGAAGAGAGTGAAGAGGAGGGGGCAGAAGAGAGTGAAGAGGAGGGGGCAGAAAAGAGAGTGAAGAGGAGGGGGGCAGAAAAGAGAGTGAAGAGGAGGGGGCAGAAAAGAGGGTGAAGAGGAGGGGGCAGAAGAGAGAGTGAAGAGGAGGGGGCAGAAAAGAGAGTGAAGAGGAGGGGGGTAGAAAAGAGAGTGAAGAGGAGGGGGGTAGAAAAGAGAGTGAAGAGGAGGGGGGTAGAAAAGAGAGTGAAGAGGAGGGGGCAGAAAAGAGAGTGAAGAGGAGGGGGCAGAAAAGAGAGTGAAGAGGAGGGGGCAGAAAAGAGAGTGAAGAGGAGGGGGCAGAAAAGAGAGTGAAGAGGAGGGGGCAGAAAAGAGGGTGAAGAGGAGGGGGCAGAAGAGAGAGTGAAGAGGAGGGGGCAGAAAAGAGAGTGAAGAGGAGGGGGGACAGAAAAGAGAGTGAAGAGGAGGGGGCAGAAAAGAGAGTGAAGAGGAGGGGGCAGAAAAGAGAGTGAAGAGGAGGGGGCAGAAAAGAGAGTGAAGAGGAGGGGGGTAGAAAAGAGAGTGAAGAGGAGGGGGCAGAAGAGAGAGTGAAGAGGAGGGGGCAGAAAAGAGAGTGAAGAGGAGGGGGGTAGAAAAGAGAGTGAAGAGGAGGGGGGTAGAAAAGAGAGTGAAGAGGAGGGGGGTAGAAAAGAGAGTGAAGAGGAGGGGGCAGAAAAGAGAGTGAAGAGGAGGGGGCAGAAAAGAGAGTGAAGAGGAGGGGGCAGAAAAGAGAGTGAAGAGGAGGGGGCAGAAAAGAGAGTGAAGAGGAGGGGGCAGAAAAGAGAGTGAAGAGGAGGGGGCAGAAAAGAGAGTGAAGAGGAG